AACGGATCCATAAAGACATGCCATCGATGAGAGACCATCATATTCGGAATCAGCGCACTTGATTACCCTAGAAAAGTTTGTTTAGTGCAGCTGGAAAGAAATTTCGTGTGAAAGCCTGGTTTTTCAGAAGTTTTCTGGAAAACCGACAGGACGTTTTGAATTTCTGACATTGCCATTAGACTCAGCATAGTCGAAAACCTATAAAAAAATGTTTTGGGAGGCAAAAAACGTTAAAGGGGTAAAAACGCCGCCTGCCCTATGAGAAAATGCCCACTGTGCGTCCGTCACACCCACACTCACCCTCACCCACACTAAATATATCACACTATATGTATACCCAGACATATGTACACCAAAATTGGGGCAGTTTTCTGAGTGAATTGAATAAAATATCACCTGATACGTTTGATAAATTCTCGGCGGGTATTGGTATGAGAACTGAGAATGATACAATTCATAAATTACTAATATTGTTGAATGAAGAAGCCATTACTTATTCACCATCATGGTTAAATAAGATGCAGCTGAGTTTTGTAACAGAAAATTTTCATCGATCATTGCAATCACATATGAGTGCTACCTATGCGGATGAATTAGCAAAATATAACAATTCAGAAGGCTCTTTAGTTACAAACACACCTAATATGGAGTCGTTTTCACCGAATTCTTCACAACTGAGCTTTTTAGATGAGGAGGAGAATACACCGGCTCATGATCAACTTTTAACATTGACCTCGGTTAATAATAATGTGGAACTGGTGACAGTTCCTCCACGGTTGACGCCCTCACTGAGGGATAGAATAGAGATAATTCGTCCCTCTACATCAGTAAACACTAATAATATGACTTCAACTTCCTTTCATATACGAACTGGTTGTATTACTGATGAAACAGTCAGAAATAACTCTAATAGTGTAACTACAACTACTACAGTTCGTATATCTCCGATTAGTATATGTGCTTCTCTTCTCTCCTCACGTCGGTGGATTGATTCGGAGGTCCAAACGGACTTAACCTTTGAGACATCAACCATTGAACAAGATGGATTAGACGAAAACATTGAAGGTTTTAGATTATATAAAGAATGGTGGTTAACGATGGACTGTAAAGCCCGAGTACATAATAATAAACTATGTAAACGAGAGAATTGTGAATTGAACCATCGGCAAGAGGATTATTGCAGGATATGCAACGGTAAAAGTCGACATATGGTTACTCAAACAGCGTTTACGGCTGTCGAAGAAGAGGAGAACGTGATAGGAAAATACCATAACGAATATAGGCAATATTATCGGTTTAGAAATAACTTAGCACTAAATGTATACTATCGTGAAAATAATCTTTTTCCAAAGTCACTCCAAATCGATGTACCAAAACAAAATTTTGATGCTAATGATCCGAAACTTAGGCAACAATGGTTAGATATTATTCAAAACGCTAGTAAAGATCTATCGAAATGCGAGGCACAAGCTATCGAACGAACGATTGCGGAAGCCGAAGCGAAATGTGAATTATTACGAGATAAGTTGTGTGAAATGAGAAAGGAACGGGAAATGATGGATGTGGAAAGAGAGGAAAGTGTAAAATTGAAAGAAACTATTGAAAGCTTATGGAACAAAGTATTTCGTCTAGAAATGCGAGAAATAAGTCCTCAGAAACAAGAAAGGAATATGAGTCGTCGGATGATGTGACATCTTCGATACAAAATATATTGGGGAGTAACGACCTACATAATACTCAAAAAGTTTCTCTTCATGCGAAACCACATCGTCCAAGAGTATCTTGTTTTGGATGTGGTAAGGTTGGTCACATACAGTCGAGATGTTTTGTGATTTGCTCATTTTGCAACGGACGAAAACACTCCGAGGAATTTTGTAAGAAAATTAAAAAGGTACCTGAACCATCTTTAACAGACTCCTCGTGCGATCCGATGATGGATGAATTGAAACGAATAGCTCGTACGGATGACTCGTCTCACGATAATGACCATCCTTCACATACTAACACAGACTCTATCTATCCATTTAATCAAAATTAACCCGACCGACTACCTCTTTACAAGTACAGTTACCCGCTTCTCGACGTTTCACTCGCCGTCATATGTGGTGCAATACAAATAAATACGATAGAAGTAGGAGTAATTACAATAGAAAGTTTCATATTCAAAAGAATTACAGCGTGACATTTGATAGTGATACGGCTCCTAATAGGAGTCGATCTACTACTAATTGACATGATTCACGTACAATTTCGGATGAGCTATTTAGAATTTCGGACCATGTATTTAAGATTGCACATATTAACTTAAGTGAGCATGAGCTTAACTTATTGGAATATGGTCTAAAGTTTATTCCTTCGCATCCTTTGAGGGCTTGTAAGGGGTTGGACGATGATATTTAGAAAATAGCTGACAAACAACGGAAATGGGACTTAAACAAAATGTTGATTCGGGACGCTATTATTCAATCAAGCAAAGCATTCAATCCCAACATGAGTTGGGATCAATATAAAGTTCTTGTGTACCTGTCGAAACGTAAGGATATTGTGATTAAGCAAGCCGACAAAGGACAAGGCATAATAGTTATGTCTAAGGAAGTTTATGAGAAAAAAGCGTTTGATTTACTAAGTGATACACGTAACTATACCAGAGCTGACAGGAACCCATTATGGATAACATATACGAAGTTCGGAACAAACTGAATGAGTTAATTAAGGATAGTAGCATACCAAAAACATTTACATGTAAAGTTCGCCATAGAGTACTACCGAAACTTCCTGACTTCTATATTTTACCGAAAGTTCATAAGAGAAATTGTCCGGGTAGACCTATCGTCTCTGGAGTAGGGCATTGCACTGAAAAAGCATCTCAATTTCTGTGCGAAATTTTGCAACCGTTTGTCACTTATTCATCACGGATTGCTAAAGACAAGTACTCATGTGCCTTTTATAAGGTAACATAACTCAAGAATTTATTAATGAAATCGAGTCGATAAATAATGCGATAAAAAACGAAAAACTGGATTTAAGGAGAATTTGGCTAGCTGCGACTGATATTGAATCTCTCTACACTAATATTCCGATTGAAGGAGGAGCTGCAAGAGTTTCAGCATTTATATTTTCAAATAAAGAATTTGCGGATATGCCGCTTTCAAGACGTGTTCTTGTCCAGTTACTCAAACTGGTTTTACGTAATAATGTTTCCACTTCGGGGGACAATATTTTTCCCAAAGGTTTGGCACCGCTATGGGCACACCGTGTGCACCCCCGTATGCAAATCTTTTTGTTCTATTAAATGAACTGAAATTTTTTAAGAAACTTGACAAGCTACCACTGAAGTTTTTACGTTATCTTGACGATGTTTTTATGCTTTGGTATGATGCGAAAAAAGATTTTGAATACTTTTTACAAAAATTGAATGAGATAAATCAAAACTTGAAGATACAAAATTGAAAATCTTTCAGATAATAAGATAAACTGTTTGGACGTTTACTTATATAAAGATTTTGTGAGTAATCGGTTCGTCGTTAAATTATTTAATAAACCTACGGACACATCCCAATATGTACGAGCCGAATCAGGTCACCCAGATTTCATTTTAAAGAATTTAGCAACAACCCTAGCCCAACCCATCCCGGCAAGAAATCTAAAGGGCTTTAAAAAATATACTAGGAAAATTTGCCGTTTTGTACTTTAAGTGAGGACACAATTAACTTCTCCACCGAAACCGAGTGTAGTATCGAGATTAAACAATTGTTAACTTGTGACACCAAAAACATATGGTATTATGTACTCTGCCGACGATGTGGAGAGGAATACGTAGGTGCGAGGGAAACATCCGCCAGAGAACGCATTTTTCGTCACGTATCTCAGATTACTATAATCCGTACAATAAACATAGGCAGACACTTTAGTCAAGTAGGTCACCCTATTAACGACTTATTGATTGTACCATTTGAGGGCAATTTCATGAATAATGAATATAGAAAAGCACGAGAATCATTTTGGATAGATAAGCTTAAAACCTGCGCTCAATATCAAAGATTAAATAACTAAAAAGTATCTTCTTATTATTGTACTTGAATTTAATTAAAATATTTTTTATAGGCGTGTTTAAAAGGTTGTTGTTTTCTAAAAAATGTAGAAAATATTAATTTTATAATAAAGTCATGCGTCATATAAAATGTTAGATTTTATCCCGTCCCGATACATCGGCATTATTCTCCCAAAAATACACAAAAAGGGTTGTCCTGGTAGGCCGATTGTATCGGGTATTCGCCATTGTATGGAAAAAGCATCACGATTCTTGTGTCAAGTTGTTGAAACTTTTGTAGGTGGTTCACCTTTATTTATTGATCAAAAATACTGAGGTCATTTTTATCGAGTGTTAAACAGCACTCAACAATTTCTAATCGAAATTGAGAATTTGAATGCGGCAATTCGGAGGAGTATACTCTGTCTGAAAAACTTCTATTTTGCGACTACAGACATTGAGTCACTTTGCACTAATGTCCCCATTGTTGAAGGAGCTGTTAATGTCACGAACTTCGTATTCGTATAGTACGGAGATAGAAAAGTATTTGAGAGTTTCCTTCGCTCGCTTAATTCAATTAACGTGAATTTGAAATAGAAAATAGAAAATATTAGTACGAGTAAAATAAACTATTTAGATGCATAGGGTTAAACGGATATGTAATGATGAAACTGATAAATGGCACGAATATACCAATATTGTCAGGGGGCACCGCTATCTTGTTCACTCGAATCACTACGGACCTTTAGGTACATTGCCGCCCGAAACCATATTTGATCCCGCACATCGAGGTTTTACGGTCTGTTCGAGAAAGTATTGCCGTTTCTGCTACATTAGATGTAAAAAATGCGATGACGAATATGCAGGACAAACTAGCATCCCGGGGAAAGAAAGATTCTATCGCCACACATCACAAATAGGTATCATTCGTACTACCTCAATAGGTAAACATTTTAGTGAGAACGGACACTCAGTTAGAGACGTTTCATTGTCCCATTTGAGGAAGGATACCTAAACGACTACCATCTTAGGGCAAGAGAATCTATATGGATCAGTAAACTCAATTCTAATCTTAATACTAAAGATTAGAACTGGGTATTTGTACGGTTTAATTTTTAACTTTTTTAAAAGAATTTTTAAGTTTAAAGCTTAACTAATAGATAGTCTCTCGATTGAAACCGTTCCTATAGGACACATTGCCATGATACTTATAGTTTTTTCTTATCGAATGCGAAACTGTTCTTATGATGGGTTTCACCTGATTCTTCAGGATTAGGGTTACGTATCCGCTGAACAGCACGTGTATACATACACACCAGTTTCAATATAGACACAAACACTTTTACTTTTTTGTATAACCAAATTTTTTTCGTATGACCATAGACTTACAGTCAATGGAATAAAGTGTAAAGAAAGATAAAAGGAAGAACAACGAAACAAAGATAACGTGCAGCAGCATGTGACCAAATGAAAAAAGCTCAGCGAAGATGTAAGTGACCTATCGGAGCTGGCAATGGTTTATAGCAACCCTCATTGTCGCCATAAGAACAAATGCTTCCACTGTCCAAGATCTAGTGTATCATATACAAGTAACGTTCATCTTCGATTCACTGACCCTTGACTGAAAATGCGTTTTTGACAATGATATGGTTTTAAAGTGGTCATTTTTAAAGGAAAAAAGAAACATCAATTATTGTTTGGTTTTTTCTTGGTCATATGTAAGCTTAGATTAGATCGAATGATGTATATAACGTGTTGAAGTACATATTTACAAGGATTAAGCTGATTCCACTGATAAATGTTGAGGTCACACTAATTGCTGGGTGAACACGTTACTTAAGCTAATTAATGTGAGAACATATTGATTCCAGGAACTAATCTGGGAGCATTTTGATTCTGGTAAATTGGTTGCAGTAATCAATATCGATTCATACATATTGATTCATAATAGCATATATGAGCTCAGATTGTTCCCACACTAATTATTTCAATCAGTATACCGATTAAATTAATTAGTGCAAGTGTATTTTGACTGCAGTAATTCATTTTATTCCAGCCAGCTAACTCCACTAATCAATGTGGCACTTGCATTTATAGCTAATGTTTTTTGTCTCATTGCTTCTTTTTCTACTATCCATTTCAACAAAGAATGGACACAGTTGCTTTTCGAATAACTCAGGAACGTTACTAGCTAGCGAGTTCGGATCTTCGCAGTTGAATTGACGAAGACAGGGAGTCTAGGCATGTGGTAATTATTGGGCTTGCTGTTATGATCTGCCATTCCTGGTAGCTCATAAGACTGTGTTTTCTTCTTCTTTTCCTTTCTTTCTGTTACTGCGCAATTCCTGCGCAACTCTTACATAACTCTTGTTCAACTTGTGTACTATATATAGCCGTTCACTTTCTTAAATAAAGATGAGAAGTGAGTGAGTAGAACCTCACAATTGGTGCACTAGCCGGCCGGTCGTCTTTTTCATCACGATGCGGTGCGGTTCGGGTGATGAAAGCATATCAAAATTTGATGATTTTTTTCTAGAGAAGCGGTATTTGAGATTTTTACATATTCGAAATTAGCGGGATGAGTTACGTTGTACGGCGCAAAGATCTCGTCGGGGTACACGCAAAAATGGGGTCTTAGGAGTCCCACTTAGAATACCACTG